TTCTCATAAAAAGAATAGTAGACGATACTCATTTGATGGTGCTCTATGATTAAAATTATCTATGACCATAAACCTCTGCGTGGAAAGAAATTCATTGTACATTTATGCCCTCGTTTTATTTCCTTATCCTTAAGTTGCCTCCCGCTCATCCCATGTTTTAAAAGCTGAATTAGTGAGCCATTTGACATGGCGGCTTTTCGTGCGTGCAGGACGACATCTTTTCGATGGCTTCATTATCGCGATAGTGGAATGAAAAAAAAAACGTAGCAGAAAGACGATAAACAGTTAAATAATTTTGGGACAAATACCGGGTTAAAGAAAAATTACCTCTGTCTTGGCCAATCAAAACTTGGTAATTTTTCCCTCTGTACTGTGATCAAGTATCATTTTTAAAAAGGACGAAATAGAGCGATACCGTTCTGCCGGCCATACTAGTACGTCCCAGAGGTTGTCGAGACATTAAGGTAAAAGGGAATGATTTTAATGCTGTCTGAGAAAAAAAATCAACGTTCTTTAGTATGTTCAGATGGGCTGCATTATATAAGGATCAAAAAAGGGCTCTTAAACATCCGATTACATGTCATGTCAATTGTTCATGCCGGCATAATTTTAAGCATAATATTGACTAAAATTCTTTAGCATAAACGCGTTGAACTGCATTTCTAGTACTTTTATAATGAAGTTTTCAAGGTCGTTTTCAGCATATGCACAAATGAGAGCTAATTGTAAATTTGTGTCGATAACTTGGTTTCAAATTACTGTCAACAAAATCTGGTCAAAATTTTCAAAATTTGGGTTTTTTCGGTCTCTAGTTGAGAAATCATTTAAGTGTAATTTATTGAAAGAAAGAATACAAATTCTTCCATAGAATGCGACAGAGCACTGAAAGAGTGTTTTACGGTAGCTGGTACCGAATAGTGAAAAGTGTAATAATACTCGTCCCCAGCAGAGTGTTCATGTTCTTCGCGGACTCTCGTCCGGGATCTCGATTTGCATGTTTCGTTTACATCGTGTATTGCACCGCACAAATGAGAAGAAGCTGTCACATTTCCAAAAACATTGAGAAGAAAGAGTCATCGTGAAACGGTGAAAAAGGAAAGTTGCTTTATGGTGAATCTAAAAGATAGCTCGGATCAAGGAAATCGAAGGCAGAAGATTTTGATGAAGTGAAAATTTTGCCTTTCCCAATGAATTTTTTGTACTTCGTTCAACCCACTCGTTTTTCCTGGTGAGGGCACGAGATGACCTTCCCTGGAATTGCGATGGACCTCTTTGTCACGAGACTTGCCAAGGGAGTTCAATGTTGCCTATCATTGGTTGGTAATGTGACACGACTGAATACGATGAAAAACCGGGAGTTTTTCTGGAGGCTAAAAACTCGAGGTTTGTTTTTACGCAAGCTACTTCTACTTAAATGAATTAATGAGGTGTGTAGATTTGTTGGATTTTCGTGAAAATTGGCCAGATTGTTCTTTAGATATTAACGCACAATTTTCTCTCGGCACTCTTAATCCCCACGCTATCATTTCATTCAACACCGACGCAGCACCACAATTTCTTTAAAAGACTGACACCTTTCATTCGTAAATATGCGCAGTCTGAGAATTTGGTCGAATGAAATGTTTTGCTTGAGGTGGCACAGGTAGCCCAAGCTCACGTCTCTAGAAAAAGCCAACGTCACGCGTTGTGTGACTCGGTGTTAAGTTACGAGAGGAACTGTTGAAAATTTCAACACCTTATGAGGACTAGTATGGGGAACGAAATATAGTCCATTTACAACGATAAACTTCTGCCGTTTTAAGCTTGCTTTACCATCGCTGTTATTCCTGTTACTTCGTCTTTTAACAATAACAAAAGCGATGGTAAAACAAGCTTAAAACGGCAGAAATCGCCAGAAACTACAACGAACACTCGGGATGTAAGTTTTATTGATTTTACGTGTAAATTGTTCATATTTCGAAATATTTATCGTTGTAAATCGACCATACTTCGCTTCCCATACTATTCCTTATAAACTTTACACCGAGTCACACAACGCGTGACGCTTTCATGAATTAATCGTTGGCTTTTTCTTGAGACGTGAGCTTGGGCTGCCTGTGGAATTGAAGGAAACCTCTTATCACCGGTAAGTTTCACCTGTCACCTAAGTTTCACCATCACGGGAGGCAAAAAGGAAATGGGGGTTGGAAGGCTCTTAAACGCCCTTAGATTGAGTTATTACGTGGTAAATTATGTAAAATCACGAGCATAACTTTGGGCGTAATGATATGTTTTCAGGGAAGAGGCTCAAAATTAAAATGCTCGAATTTTCCAGTATAATGTTTCTGATCCCAATTGTAGCCGTTATATATTCAAGAATTGCTGTGGAAAAGTATCAGTTCATAGGTGGAGGTAGTGTTTGCAAGATGGGAACCGTAGCAACCTGGATTTTGATACTGCTTCTTTCTTCGATGTTGGTCGAAGGGATGATACTCAACATGGTGGAAAAAGCAGGGAAAATTCAAAGAAAAGTATGTTCCAAATGTTTCTTTGACTTCTTCCAAAACGTGCCAAAATTATCCATTAATCGGGAACTGACTACTTACTTACTTGTTACTTTGAGTTAAAGTTCGGTGGTGTAAACCAGTTACTTCTGTTAAAAGCCTTTTTAATGAAACTATTTACAGGCAAAGAGGCTGAAGAGAAAGCACCAAGAACGTGAAAATTCAGAAATCTTGACGCTGAACAACCGCAGACGGTTGAAAGAGGTAAGTAAACAAAACCGTCTCTGATTCAGTCTCTCTTCTTGGTACTAAACGAACAGGCGTTGCACGCAACGAGCAGCATATGCTTGTGTTTCGAATCAACGCCAAAACTTTTCTAATTTCCAGCAATAAGTCAATCTTGTTTTCGCTTTAGCAGCACAATCTTTTGTCGTTCTATTCGTCCAGGCTTTAATTTTGATGGATTAAAGACCACCACCGCAAAAATGTACTATGCTAAGTCCAGCTAAACTATTGGGTATGAGTAAAAGGGCACAGGTACCCTTTTTGTTTGATTTTTTTTGTCACGTCAGCCTTTTCCGGCCGAAGCAAATCTTTGTTCGGTATGCTTTGCTTTTTCAGATACAGATGGAGCTGAAATTCCGGAGAGACTTCTGCTCACAGGCCCGTGAGCTAGAATGTCAGATGGATTAAGCGAAACCACCAATCCATGAAACTCAAGATAAGACAGCTTACTATAATTGAATGTTCGCTTTTAGTAATAAATGATTCAGACGAAATGTATAGACTATGTACTGTAAAACATACCGCTTGAATTCAATAAAGGCTGTGTTCCAATATGGACAATATACATTGGTTTTTGCTATGTGTTAAAATGATATCGGCGGACCGGCGCTTTTTCCCATCATCTGAGTAAAGAAGCATTACAGGTATGATGTGAGGGGAAATACAAACTTGTGAGACATTCAGGTTACTGAATACTTTACTTAAACAAGAGCTACGTATACTGCTAGAAATAGGCGAGTGAAAAACGAAAAAAATCTATACAAGTAATGAGTCCATGAATCCTAGAACAATCGAGATTTTTCGAGACAACTTTGCAATTTAACTGATTTACTGAATGCATCTGTTTTGACTGGTATTTTTTACAATTACAGTGCGCCAAAATAATTGTGATGTCAAAATAGCATGACAAAACATTTCAAGTCGGCACAAAATTCCACGCATAAAAAACTTAAGGATGAAAACCCAAAAAAAACTAGGGAAGACTGACGTGAATCAGAATGGTAAAAAGATCACATCACATCCGAAGACATTTCGGGCACAGCGTAAATTGAAATATTCGGAGGGAGTTGGATTGTAAATCAGATGATTTAAGAGGCGATCTCTGTAAGAGCGGTCCAGGGCATTTCGCATCGGAAAAAAGTTTTCCCTCAAACTTTTCTCAATAACCATCTTTGGTTACAAGTAAATAAAACCGCATTAAAAAGGCCCTTTTTTGACCTCTTGCGACATCGAAAATTTCAAAAGTTGAATAGCTCGGTCCCCGTATCACACCGCATGCAGCAAAAAATATTTTGTATTCTTAAAGTGTGTGATATATAAGGTGTAAAAAATGCATTTCAATTTTGATATTTGTTTATTCAGAGGCTCGTCATAATTTATTTAAAAACACTTGTTGGACAGCTTTCTCATCCATTACTGTGTTCCTCGCCTCTCTCAAACACCCTTCGTCTACATCAGACGCAGGTGCTTCTATCAAGTGGTCGTCTGCGTCGGTGGCATCATCCGATTCTTGTTGTATTTTAGATCGCTGTTTAAGGCACAATCTCGAGAAGAAACCCCGAATCTGTATGTTGGATAACCACTCTGTTCTATCGAACATTCTCTCTCCATCTCTTGTGCAAGCAGTTCGCATATCCTTTGCTACTTCTCTGGGTTTGGTTTCTGCCAGTGTCTCATCCGATATTAAATTTCTGTTTCAAGTACTGCCTGACGTTTTGCGAAAGCCGTTCACTTGCACCGCTCTTATGAAGAGCCCATCCCATGGGAAGCTTTGATGTACTTGTCAAGGGTTCTGTGGCCACTGCAACCAGTTCAGTCGAACTTTCACCTTCTAATGACAATGACTGAAAGTGATGAACCCACTACCTCTTCACTTTGTCATAAAGACTTTAAGTCATGCTCGCAGGCACAGGACTTACATGATGAACTAGCTAGTTCATATGGAAGTCAAGGTCGGCCTGGGTCTTAAAATCTTCATCGCAACCAGGTTCAGGGCATTGATAGGAACTACCGTCGTTGCCATCATTGCTTTCTCCTGCTGATGCAGTTCGTCGAGCAGTAGTGGGGAAAAATGGAATCTCCTCCACCAGATCCGTCATTTTTTCTGTGGAAAAATTGCAATTTTAATTTTACCGAATAAACTTTCCAGGCCCAACATTAAACGCTCTCCAAACGCGCAGGCCCTCTTGTGTAAGTTGCTGAAAGTGGCAATCTTGATGTTGTGATAGCAACCTGCTTCATCCGATCTTAGAAAGACCTTTTTTATTCCTGAATTTCGTAACTTTATGGTAACAAAGAGATTTTCTAGGACTGACAGCACTGAAAACCAATCTTTTTTACAGCTGTTAAGAAGGTATACGTATCAGGTTACTTCCAGGCTTTCCTCCTGTCTTACAACAACGCTACTCACATGCCAATTGATTTCCCTCTTGGGAAACCATTCTGCTTGCTTTTCCCGGAACTTCATCGCTATGAACTTCATTGTCCAGTCAACTATTATAAATGCTTCATCTCCCTCCAAAGTATCGACAATTTTCCGCTGGCACTGATCCTGGTTTCTGCTCTCAGGATATGCCCTCTCCATTCAAAGATCTTAGCGGCAGCATTTTTTGCTTCACACAAATAGTCTTCCGCTTGAAACCTACCCAACTGCATTGTGTACTCAGAAATAACGCCATTTACTTCTTCAAGAACACTCTTCAGCTTCTCACAATCCTCACACTTCACGTTGTGACTGTGACTGCATACTTTCTGAACGTCAGTGTTACCATCATGGCTCAGTGCAAAGACCCTACAGTGATCGGCACATTTGCTATCGTCCTCTTCAGTGATTAAGGTATGAAGTCTTCAGATACAACTTACTCTCCTGAAGCCTCTTCCGAACTTCTTTACACTAGTCCTTTTCTGCTACCACGCTTTCCAATTCGTCTATAATTTGGAGAAAATCCTCGATACCATCCGCTCCCTCAGCTGCAGTATCGTCTAAACCTCTATAGAACGCCATACATCTTCGAAATGGCCTTTGAAATTTGCAAATTGACAGAATACTGGCTCTTTACCCCTTTGGAATCGCTACCAGGGTGTGTCGGAAACTGGCACGCTGAACTTTGGGGCCAGAACTTCCCATAAGTGTGCCTATGCTTTGCGCAGACCCACTTTTTGCCATAACTGAGTCTTCTATATCGAACAGGCCAGCCCTTGCAAAGATAAGCCCTCCTTCTGTGAAACTCTCTTTTGACAAATGAATTAAGCAGAGATGACTCTTTATTGAGTCAGTACTCTGTGGCAAGTTAAACAAAAAAGAGTCTCCGAACGAAGTTTCTGAGGAACGCGACTGAAAACAGAACTTCTTGTGGCGAATACCGCTTCAAGAATTTAGCGTTATTAATCCCAAGCAAACCAGTACCGAAAGAGACATAAGAATTACAGCTAATAAAATTACGCGCTTTACAATATAGATATAGCTAATTGTTGGAAAAATTAGGTGACACGTAACGTAATAATTTATTTCCTCAAAAATCGCGGGTCCTTTTCCACAAGTACTCTCAGCGTTCTTAACAGAAACTTTCATAAAGACAGGTGTGCAGACAAAATTTTTCCTATTCCTGCCGACCAGAATTCTGATCCAAAAGGCGATGTTATCGCTGCTTTAATACGAAGGGAGAAGCAATTCAGGATAATTACACAATTGAATTATGTGACAGTGGTCACGGTGTATTTCAGTGTGTGCTGTTATCGCCGGTTACACTAAATAGAATCCTGTAGTTTGGTTTTGAAATGTTCATACAGGTTTGAATAGCGTAAGCCATCAGAACTCAAATATGAAATAACAGAAGCCCAATTTTTAAAAAGGGGTTTGCGAGCGCTAATCAAAATTATGATATTCGATACGTTGTTGTTGACGTCTTTCGTCACGAGATAATAAAATATGTCAAATTTTGGCCTTTTAAAATGTTTAAGGTATTAATCGGTGTGGTATTAAAGCTCTCTCCACTATATTTTCTACTATATTGTCTACTTAAAATGGTTAAAATCTAAGATTTATTGAGTTACCCACGTAAAACGGTCGGAGTTTGCTCAATGAACTAATTTGCATAATCGGCTGTCACGCTAGCAATATCGCTAGAAGTTCGAAGTCACCTCGGCGAAGAAAATCAATAAGTGCAAGATGTTTTTATTTTTTTCTGCAGCCAAACATCTTATTAGCAGAAATCAAGCGGAGTTTTTAATGGTCTGGTCTGGACTTGAGCAATATCAACCAAGAAAAAAAGAGTACTTTTAACCAATTTCAGAAAGCTGTCCAACGAGTGTTTTTAAATAAATTATGACGAGCCTCTGAATAAACGATATTTTTCCGAAGAAATTTCAAGGTCCACATGCACATTATGATGATGAAGTTACTGGTTGAGGGTTAAAGATAGTTTGTAGGAATCTGAACAATTCATAACTAAAGATTATTCAAGATGATTAAAATATTTTCGAGATGATTTTACAATTGTTGGACTATGACTTCCCACTAAGATAGGTCAACGAAAGCCAGACGATGTAAACATGACTAACGTGAAGCAAGTGCAATGTTGAATCGTTATCTGATATTGTTGTGCCATGATAGGCCAATATGGGTAGGTGATAGGCCGATATTCGCTAGTAACGGACAGATGTAGCCAAACAGTGTCTAAAGGTAATTTCAAACCCCCCTGTTGAAGTCCTAAATGTAATAACTGTCCTAAATGTAATAAAGTCCTAAATGTAATAAAGTCCTAAATGTAATAACATTTGGTCCTAAATGTAATAAAGCCCTAAATGTAATAACGTTCGGTCCTAAATGTAATAAGCCTCCTATGCAATCGTTTAACTGCGCTAAGATTGAGATGTCAAAGTGACAGCTGTTGCACCAAAGAATCTTCTGTCCAATAATCATGGAACATTGCGGGCTCACTGATATTAATTAGCGTCTTTTTATTTGCTAAAGACGTAGGTTGAGAAACATTGGCTACAAAACCGTACTCGTGATACTGATGTGCTTTTGGCATCAAATTGACGGACGCAAAAGCAATGAGAACGTTGACCAATAGCTCTCTTTATATCATTGGCTCAGACTCTTAAGTGACGATATACCTTTGTCATCGGTGCTGAAGTTAGCACTTCATGAACCGAATTACAAGGAAAAGGAAGTCCACCGACTTATACGTTAGACAAATTCTGGGCTCGAAAGGGCATTTTTTGTACTGTCTTCCCTTGCCAGATTTGTACGGGTCTGCATAAAATATATTCATATGCGTTATTGACCAAGCGTGAGGTCAAAATGGCTGGATATTGGCCGAGTTCTTTTTTTTTTTTTTTTTGCGTTTTTATGGACTGATTGCAAGATCTGCCGTGGGTTATTATTTCATGAAACGTGCTAATTGATATTTTGTATATTAAACGTGTTAATTGATTTTATCTAACAAAAGTCAATAAAGCCATAAGTATAACTGACAGGAGTTAACGCCTCGAGTAGATGGTGGGGGGC